TCCCTTGGCAACCAGCTCCCACTCATAGGTGCTTTCCCAAAGCACCCTCATTAACATAACAAAAGACATCTTTTATGGTTCTCATTGCTTAGAAATTCCAAGGGTTTCAGGAGCTTGGTGCCAGGAAAGGGATGAAGACCAAATATATATTTTGTATTATAAATCACAACATCACAAATAGAAAACGTTCAAACAACCTAACAGTAAAATAGGCGATGGATTTGAACAGGCAACTCTTGGAAGATGTTCAACCTCACTTGAAATGAAAAGAAACTCCTGTTAAAACAGCAGAGTCCTAGGTATGTGTCCAAGAGAAGTGAAATCGTACACGCTCACAGAAACGTGTACACTCATGTTCACAGCAGCATTATTCCCAAGAGCTAAAAACTGGAAATGACCCCAGTGTCCATCCTCTGATGACGAATGGATAAACAAAATGGGGTCTATCCCAATGGTAGAATATTCTGCCATAAAAAGGAATGAAGTGCTCACAGAGGCTACAACATGGAAAACCCTTGCAAACATTATGCTAAGTGAAGTCAGTCAGACACAGAAGACCATATAGGATATGATTTCATTTTTATGAAATGTATAGGTAAAGCTATTGACACAGAGAGTGGATTGGTGGTTGCTAGGGGCTGGGGGAGGGAGGAAATGGGACAGTGACTATTAATGGGGTTTCTTTCTGGAATGATGAAAATGCTCTCAAATTGATTATGCTGATAGTTGCTTAACCCTAAATACACTAAAAACTATTCAAGTGTACACTTTCAGTGGGTGAATTGTAGAGCATGGGAATATTTCAATAAAGCTGTTGAAAAACACTGAGATAGGACTTTTCACTCCTCCGTTTGACAAAATTAGTAACCGTGTAGGTGGACAGAACTTTCATATATTGTTGATACACGTGTAAATCGATGCCATCCTTTTGAAGAGCATTTTGGCAATTTCTACCAGCATTAAAAATGCATATATCCTTTGACCACATGCTTCCATGTTAACTGGCCCTACGGAGATATTTATAGTGCATCCAGGTACACCAAGGAGCTGCTGGGGCATTGTAGGAACAAAGAAACTAGAAATTGATATACATCAACAGAGAACACACTCAGACAATGCAAAGAAGCATGGCCATTAAAAAGAAGGCAGTAGCTTAGGCCCTGTTGATGCGGAAAGATCTGCAGAGATGTGTTTTAGGTGGGAAACTGGCAAGGCATGAAAACAGTGGGCAGAGTGATTCTCTTTTTATCAGTCAAAGCCAGTCTACCAAAGTATTCAGGAAAGAAATGCAAAGCATGCTCATGTCCAGGGAGAGGGACTGAGATAGAAAAGGAGGTTTTAGTTTTCATTTTGTAATCTTTTGGGACTGTTTGAATTTTCTAAATGTGGGCCTGCATTAACTTTATTTTTGAAACGCCACCGGGCCGGGATTATCTGTGTGGCCGTATTTTGAGTCATTTTCATTTTCTTTATGCTTTACTGTGTTGAAAATCTTTTATAATCTTCGGCATTCCAGAAATGTGTGTGATGGGTGTGTGTGTGTGTGTGTGTGTGTGTGTGTGTGTGTGTGTGAGACACACTGCTGTTCCCCCAAGAGGACCCGCACAGAGCTCACGACCTCCCTCTCCAGGCCTCGGGTTCCCATCTTCAGGGAAAGGCAGTAGGACAGGCTGGGGAGGCATGGCGGGGAGGGGGCACTTCACTGAGCATTGGCCAAGCCTCTCTCCAGAGACAGCTCCCACCTCCTCTTCATCCTGCCCCTGTGGCATGAAGCCAGCTCACAGTGGGTGGGGAGGCTCAGGTGAGGAGGCAGGGACAGAGAATAGAGTCCACTCCTCTGAAACAGCAAAGTGCACGCAGGGGAATGGGTCCAACAGGATGCTCAGTTGATGTGGAAGGAGCGGGGCCAGAGCCTAAATTCTAAATGAGGGCAGCAGGGGCCTCTGAAGGCTGGTGTCCAGAAGGCCCAGCCCGAGAGCCACCGAGGCCTAGAGCCGCACTTGCAAGTGTAGGCATGTGCCTGCGTGTCTGGGAGGGACGGGTTCCGGGGTCTGTGCTCCTATATGCGTTAGTGGGCTTACCCATCTGCGTTTCATGCATGTGGCAGAAGCAGCCTTACTGAGCAGCTCCAGGGCCCTTGCTTACACAGGCCCCCTCCAAGGCTCTGTCTCTAATTTGTATTTAGAGTTTTGGTCTTCCTTTTTTGAAAACCAGTTCCCCTCCCGCACTGTATAAACATCGGGCCCAACAAAATGTGGATCTGCCCTGGCATATTTATATCGTACTGTCCCATGTTTATCATGACTATGTCTCTGTCTCCTTTCCTTTGTCCCCCCTCCTTCCTGCTTTCCCTCTCTCCTTTCTTCCTTCAATATTTGTGTTCTAGGAACTTGCTCTTTTGGGACAGAAGGACAGCGATAAAGGAGCCCATCCATTCCAGAGAGGTTCAGGGGTCCGTGGGAGCATATTGTGGGCCATCTTCCTTCCTCCTGGGACCATCAGGAAAATGGAGAGTGGAAGAATGGAAGAAATAGCAGGGTGGCCAGACGTGGACGGGGCGTGGTGGAAGGCACTGTGAGTCCATGTCTTTCTGTGATCAACTGTGTCTGGACCTGTGTGTGCATTTGTGTGTGATGCCATGGGTGTGCGCCTATGGCTGTGGGCGGTGTATCCCTCCATGTGTGCAGCTGAGGGAGAACCTGGGTGCCTGCGTGCTGTTTGTTGTTGGCCTCACGTGCCTTCGAGGGACAGAATCCAGGCGGCACTACGGGCTAATGAGTTTTCACGGCTATGGAACTCCCTCAGGGCCAGTCCTCCCTGGCAGAGCAAACCACTCTTAGAAGCCCAGAGATGGGAGTAATGACTTTGTCCTTCCCCGGGGTGTCCAAACATCCCTGCCGGTCTCGAGTGGCCCCGCCAACCTGACCTGGCTGAGCCCGAGGCCAGGGGCTCTAACAGATGCAATGATTTTTCAACCTTTGGGCATCACCTGGTCACCTGGTTGGACCAGCTCCTTGACTTGTGGTTTGAATGGCAGGCACAGGTGGCCAAGCCTGAGTATCAGGTTTCCATGGTGACAGTCCCTATAAAGTGCTCAAGATCAACAAGATGCATGGGGGCAGTACTGGCAAGAAGGGCACTTTTTAAGCCCAGCCCATTTCTGTTTCAGAGTTGGCTCAGAGAGGGCTGGAGAAATCTTTAAGGTCACCTAGAACACCTGTGGTTATTCTCTGTCTAGCCTCCACCTCCCGGATCTGTTAGCTGCGGTTTTCACCTGCTCTCTGTCCCCCCAACAATGCTGATCCCCGTGGATGCCATCACGTGAGCGTCCTTGGTCTTTGGCTCCCAGTTGGGTTCGGCCAATGGGAGGCACTGATGGGCATCAGAGGGTGGGAGGAGAGAAAAGTTGGGGTATTTCCCCAACCTACTCCCAGTTTTGGCAGTGACTGTGTCTCTCTAGCCACAGCTTTTCTCAGGGGACCCCCCCACCCATCACTGAGGCTCTTGCTGCTTCCAGGAAACCACTCCTCTCTAGTCACTTCATGTAGGGGGTAAGCAGCCCAGGTACTGCACCATCCCATTGATTTCCTTACAATACCGCCCCGGCCCCCACCACACACCTGGGGTAAACCACCCCTTTGCTAAACTCTTTTCATTAAACCCTATTGAATGGGTCCTCTCTTTCCTGTTGGGACCCTGACTGATACACAGTTTCCCATTGTGGTAGGAATAAAACATATACTACCTTCTCCTGCTCCATGTGGCCTCCAGTCTTTGCACTTGCTGTTTCCTCTGCTCATTTAAGAATCACCTCTTCATCAATAAAACAAAAAAATAACAAAACACATTGCATATGTTTAGCACGCTTGGCACTCTTACCAGTTTAAAAAAACACTAACCAGTATCATTTTTATTGTTGCCAGGTACTGGAATGCAAATAGAGGTGCTGACTTGTTAAAGGGCCTGGTTTTAATACTGTTGTCAATTTAATATGAACTAATATTGAAATACTGGATCTGTGCCATTTATTATTCATCTTTGGTGCATTTCTGCAGTTAATGTAGTCATTGTATGCCTGTATTTTTAAAAAGGAGTGTTAATGTTTTGAGGGTTTCTCATTCATTTGAAGATGAAACATATCCTAAGATTGCACAAAAGGGGGAAATCATAAGTATATAATGTTCAATAAATCAGTGTCTTGTTATATCACAATGACATTTTAAAATAAGATTTACAGGGGGCACCTGGTGGCTCAGTCGTTAAGCGTCTGCCTTCGGCTCAGGTCATGATCCCAGGGTCCTGGGATCGAGCCCCACATCGGGCTCCCTCCTCAGTGGGGGGCCTGCTTCTCCCTCTCCCACTTCCCCTGCTGTGTTCCCTCTCTCGCTGTGTCTCTCTCTGTCAATAAATAAAATCTTTAAACAAAAGATTTACAGGATTGAAAAGTGGAAAACAACAATCTCTTCCAAGGTGCCTTCATGACCACTGTCTAAATCAGGGGGCACCATCACTTTCACAATACTTATATTTTGCAATTTATGATTGCTTCCTACTTTGAGATTTGTGTCTCTCACTTCACTGTGAGCTTGACCAAGTCTCTCAGATCTTGGCTGCTGGGTTCACTCTTGTGTCCCAGTGCAGTGTCTTGGTGAGTGGACATGCTAGGATGCTTTAACAGAGGCCTCCAAACAGTATGAATAACCTAGTTTATTTCTCCCACAGGTGATGGTGGGGGTCAGCGGCCCAGGCTGGCACAGTGGTTTGAAGGTGTTCCCAAGCCCCTGGGGCTCCTCAGACCACCTCGCTCCTCAGCCACACAGGGGACAACTTAAAAAACCCTCTTACCCAGAGCAATCCTACTGTCTTTGGTTGTGGCTTCCCCAGTCCAGCCTGCCCAAGAACCTTGTTCTCCCAACAACAGGCTTATCTTCGTGGCTTTCCAAACCACAGAGCAAGTTCCCTGAGATGAACTTCTCACAATGAAACAGGGTTACTGCACACACGTTCTTGCCTGTTTTATTAAATATTACTTTTTTCCTTCTGTGGCTTTCCACATCCTTGACCTTTGGGCGAGTTATTTCACCATTCTGTGCCTCAGTTTCTTCATCTGTAAAATGGGGATAACCATTGTTCACCTCCTAGGGTTGTTACAAGGATTAAATGATCATAAAGCTCTTAGAATTGAACCCAACAGACAGGAGGTGCTCTTTAAATAATAATCAGCATTACTAACTCTTTTGAAGATCTTAACCTCCCCATGAAGTAGGTGAGAAGGCATCACCTCATTTTCAGATGCATAAATGACGGACTAAAGAGCTAAAGCAACTTGCCCAAGGCCATGGTGCTGACAGGTTGGCCTAGTCTAGGTTTAATCCAGATCTGCACCTCAGCTCACCTCATGAAAAAACTGGGGTGATGACAGCAACCCCTCCTAGGATTTGGTTGCGAGAATCCAATGCCATCATGCAATCAAGTGACAGGCACTTGGAGGGCACTGTTCAAACGTCTGTGCCCTTCCCCTTCACGGTGGCCCACTCTGTCACGCGCACGGGCGCTCTCACGGAGCCACCAGGGATCCCAGCTACCCTGCTCCTGGCAGCCCTCGGGGTCAGCTGCTTGTTTGGCTGCAGGGGACAGCTGGGCCAACAGAGGGGCCCATTGTCTCTGTATTCTGGGGCTCTATTGTTGGAGCTTAGTCCCCGGGTCCAGCCCCAAGGCACTCCCAGCTGTCGCTAGGGCGTGTCTTGATCGGGGTGGGAGGGACAGGGAGCAAGCACGGATACCCGGCTGTACCCCTAAGATTGGATCTCCAGCGCGGCTCACTGACGAGGAAACTGAGGCTCAGAGAGCCCAAATGACGTGTGGGGAGTTTGTCTCACCTTGGGGTCGCCAAAGATGGGGCGGGGAGGGCACGCGTGTGGCCTCAAGTCGGAGAGGTCATGGATTTCTTTAGGTCACAGATTGCAGGGCCAGAGCACCCCCATCCCATTTTACTCGTGGAAACGGAGGCCCCAGAGCGGGGACGCTTGCCCAAGGTCACACAGCGCGTCTGCCGCAGAGTCCGCCGGGAACCCAGGCATCCCTAAGTCCCAGCCTTGGGCGAGAGCAGGAGCGCGGGTCGACTGGGGGCGGGGCGATTCCGCACGTTCCAAACCTCTGTGGCGCGCCTTGATAAAAACTCGCGCGGCCCTCCCCTTAGGGGGCGTGGCTTTCCGAGCCAGGGGATTCCACTGGGCATTTGTCTGCGGAAGGCGGGACTTCGTGCTTGATGGCAGTTGGAGGCGTGGCCTCCTAACCGCGGGCGCGCTCACTGCGGGACTTCATCCCTCTGTGACGCAGGCGCGGGCGCGGGCGGGGCGGAGTCGAGACTGCCGGAGCTCCGCCCCCAGCGGAGGAGGCCGAGGCCGGGGGCGTGTCCTGGGCGGGGCCGTGCCCCGCCCCGCCCGGTCGCGGAGCAGTGGCCAGCGCAGGGAGGGCCCGGCCCCGGGATGTGAGTGAGGCAGGGGTGGGGGCGCGGGGTGGGGCGCCAATCCAAGCCCCCGGGGTTCCCAGGGGTCCCCGTGGGCGGGAGCACTAGTGCGCGGGCTACCCGGCGGGCTCGTCAGGTGCGTGCCCAGGTACCGCGGGCAGGGGCCGCTCAGGCCGAGTGAGCCCAGGCCGGCCCCGCGCCACTTCTCTGCGGTCCGAGGTGCGGTCCACGGGGCTCCGACCTGGGCGAGGGCCGGCGACGTGCGCGGGTCTGACGTCTGTCTTATCCCGGGCTCCACCAGCTGTGCGGAGGCCCCTCACAGTGGCAGCCGCTGAAGCCAGGTTTCTGGTCCCGATGCGGCGGCGGCTGCAGAGGTGTAATGGGGTGGGGAGGGGGCTCAGCTGCGCGGCAAGGCTGAGGTGATCTCCATCCCTGGCTGCGGGTTGGGCCACAGCCTGCGTGAACCCCGACCTGCTGTTTCTGGGAACGGTCACCCCCACCCCCAGCTCTCAGGGATAGGGAGCTTTCTGTGCTCAGCTGTTTGGACGCATTATCTCAAGATAGCCACATATTTTACAGTTAAGGAAACATACAGCTGTTTAGCGTGATTGTTATAATGTGGAAGTGAGATGCTGAGGCCTTGCAGCCAGATGCACCTTGGTGAACATCGGGTGCTGCACAGATCTGCAGTGTGACCTTGGGCAGGCCTGGTTCCCTCTCCAAGCCTCTGTTGGGATGGTGGTGCCTACTTCCAGGGCTCCGGTGAGGTTTGGGTTGGATAGTGCAGGGAAAGGGCCAATGCTCAGTAAGGAGCTGCTTTCACGACTGTTGTTACTGATATTAAGTGGCCCTTTTCCTGCGGCTGAGGGAGCTAGTGGTACTGGGTCGGGATTGTGTGGTCAGTCCAAGTGGGGTGGTAGGGAGGAGGAGGCTGCTTTCCACACTGAGACTGCCCCTCCCTGTGTGTCTGTCCCTGGGCACACGGAAGGCCACACGCAACTCAACTGTACCAGCATGTGCCGGAGACACGCTGGCCCATCGTGTATTCACCACGCTACAACATAACCTTCATGGGCCTGGAGAAACTGCACCCCTTTGACGCGGGAAAATGGGGCAAAGTGATCAGCTTCCTAAAAGGTATGGAAGGCCCTATGAGACCCTACATCTCTTTCTTCCAACCCACCTCCCCGACCCCAGCCCCCGGCCCCTGCCTGTGTCTTCCCTGACACAAGCCACAGTCTCCTACCTCCAGGCTCAGCCCTCAGACTGCCTTCCACCATGCTGGCAAAGGGGCTTTGCAACACAGATTTCTGAGCATGCTATGTCCCTGTCTCAAACCTTCAGTGCTCCCCTTCGCTGTGGGCTTAAGTCCTGGCTCTGTCCATGGAGGCCAGTAGAAGGGGAGCTGATTAAGGATGGACACAGGGAAGCTGAAGTTTAGAGGAATCCAGTATCCGTCCCCCACAAACTCGGAGAGTCCAAGAGGTAGAGAGCCTTTGCTCCAACCCTACTGATTACAGGTGGAGGAAATTGGAGCCCAGAAAGGTTAGGGAATATGCTCAAAGTCACACAGCTACTAAGGGGCAGAGTGGGGTCTGGAACTCAGAGCTCTAGGCTCCCAGCTTTCACAGCTGTTCCGCTGAGAACGGTGGGCTCTGCAGTGTGGTTTCAACTTTGGCTTGTGATCCAGGGGTCTGGTTTAGGTGGGAAATTCAGGCATCACAGTAGGCTAGTGGGAGAATATTCTCCCTTTCCCCTGCATTAGGGGTTCTTTAATTGACAGAAGTAGGGAATATTACCTGGCATAGGATGAGGCATGGTGTATCTTTAAATCACACAATCCTGATGACGCCATGGAGAAAGTTTCACTATGGGGCTAGCCTGTCTTTAATACCGAAGCCCATCTCCCCTTTTAACAAATCTAGAGCAAGCCGCAGGCTCTGCATGTTGCAGAAAATAGAATCAAATTACAGATTAATAACAGTTTGTTTCTATCATATATGTTTTCTATTTTTGGTTAACTTCTATTTGTGGCAACCACTACTGATTTTCCATTTACAATTGTGACCAGAGTGAGTATTGAAAACTATTAAGTAGAAAAGAGTCCAAGCGGGGTGCCAGGACGGTGAGAAACCCAGCGAGGTGGGTGGGGCCAGCCTGCTGGTCACCTTACAGGTCTCTTGCCTTCTTGACTATGGTCCTTCATGCTCTGTTTCCAGCAGACCTGGCCTGAGTCACTCCCCCCCTTGCCCTTTCTTGGGATCCTGTGTTACCCAGCAGCTCAACATAGGGTTCCTTGTCTCCCTCATCTCTGAGCTGACAGTCTTCCTGAGTTCTCTCCTTTCTCCTCTGAGGATGTGGGTGGAAAGGAGGCAGGGACCACTTGGTGAGGGGCCTTGGGTGCTGCCAAGAAAAGAGCTGGCCCTTTGCCCGAAGGCAGTGGGGAGCCATGGAATGTTATTAGGGGGAAAGGGGAGAGTAGAGAGTGCCTTCTGTATGTGGAGCTGTATGTGGGAAATGTATGGGACTTATTGGCTTCTATGGGTTACACATTAACAGTTTTCCTTAGATTCTGACCTTGTCCCTTTGATTTCCCTAGAGCCCAGAGCAGGATGGTCCTATTCTCACTGTGCCCTAGAGCACTTCCTGCTCTTGGCTTCAGTGTCTTTTTTTTGCAAAACAGAGCAAATCTTGTCTGGTGGATGTGAGGGCTGATAAAATACTGCAGTGTTTCCCAAACATCAATTATTTGCAAACTGCTCTTGGGACCTTGCCATACCACCTGCTCCGTTATTTACTTCATATATATTTTTTTAACTGACTTAGCCTCTGCTTTAAAAAAAAACTTAAACTTGTTTTAAAAGGAAACATTATATCATCTAAATGGGAAAAGGCAGTTTCACTTGCCACAAATAGAAGGTCATGGTTAAAAAAATAAATGCAGGAAAACTTAATTCACTTCAGGCTGCTTACTGTTGCCTGGAAGTCTGCGAGCCTGCTACTTTTTGGGTTAAAAAAGGGAGATGAGCAAGGGTTTAGGCAGGCCTTAAAGAGAGGCCACACCGTACTGAGCCTCCCATGGTGTCACCAGAAGGTGCAGGGAGAACCCAGAAGAGCTTTTCTCACTTGAGTCAACATTATTGATCTGTGTGCCACCTGCCTCTGAAAGCCATCCCGTCACACCTGAGCTCACCTCTCGGCTGTCAGTGGTTTGGGAAACACAAGGATCACTGCGTGCCCAATGTCTGACGCCCTCGGGCCCTGGGGCCTGGCATTGTCCACCCTGGCCCAGGAGGCGACCTGTTCTCAGAAGCCAGCGGTTGCCCGCCTCCTACTGGGGCAGGGTTAGCAGAGGCTAAGTCTGCAGCCTACTGGAGGAGTGGTCTGGAGCTGGGTCTGCCTTTGGGTCATCAGGGAAGCAGGGTGCCCACTTTGTGGTTTCAGAAGAGAAGCTTCTATCAGATGGCATGCTGGTGGAGGCGCGGGAGGCTTCGGATGAGGACCTGCTGGTGGTGCACACAAGACGCTATCTCAACGAGCTGAAGGTACAGGGCCTGGGGCCTGGGAGGCTGCTGACCAGGAGGGGTGGCCAGAGCAGGGGCAGCTCAGCCTGAGGAAACACAGCCTAAAGGGGCTCCATTCCTGCCCCTCGTGCGGCTGGGGGGGGGGGCATGAGAGTCTGTGGTCCCCAACAGAAAGAGACAGGTGTCATAAAAAGGCAGATACCAGGGATAGGCTAGGCTGCTCCAGGGGCTAGTGAGCTCCCTGTCCCTGGGTGTATGGAAGCAGGGATGTCCATTTGGTGGGGCTTGAACCTTTCTAGGTGTTTTGGGCCTCTACCTTAGTGCCTTTCAATCTATGTTCTTTATTTTTATTTTTTTAAAAAGATTTTATTTATTCATTTGACAGAGAGGAAGAGAGAGAGAGAGGCAGGCAGAGGGAGAGGGAGAAGAAGACTCCCCACTGAGCAGGGAGCCCGATGCAGGACTCGATCCCAGGACTCCGGGATCATGACCCGAGCCAAAGGCAGACACTTAACTGACTAAGCCACCCAGGTGCCCCTCAATATGTGTTCTATGAACAAGCCTCAGAGACCCTTGCTGACATGCTGCGTGAGGGCCCCCCAGCCCCTTGTCCTAGCCAACCAAAGCTATCCCATTTAGGTCTATTTTTATATTTGGCTGAAGTTTAAGATTCTGTATTAAGAACTTCTACTGCTAAAGATGTGTTGAAAACTGTTGGGCCAAAACTAATTTGAAACTCCCCAGGGCCAAGCAAAGAATATAAACAAGTTGTCAGACAGATGTATGGGGGCCAACTGGGGAGCTTCTGCCCCTTCCCAAGTGGGTGGCTTGCTACTCAGCTCCACCATGGGCCCAGTGTGGCTAGGGACCTGCCTTTCAAAGAGCAGTTTGAAATTCAGATTAGTAAGTGGCAGTCCCTGGTTTCTTAAAGTGGCAACTCATTTCAAGATTTTCAATCCCACCTGCAGACCAAAGCAGGCCTATAGGCCACCTGCTTGTGACTTCTTTCTGGAAGAGCTCACAAACACTCATCTGTGCTTGAGGGTCCGAGACCCCTCTGTGGGGTGCTCCCCTAGAGAGGAAGCTAGGCTGGGGGGGTTGCATCAGAACCTGGTGCTGCCAGCCCACCCTGGTGGG